AGCTCATCTCTTTCTAACGATGAATAATATATTCCCTTGTCTAGCTGCACCAGTTATTTTTATTTTTATTTTTTTTTTGAGACGGAGTCTTGCTGTTGTTGCCCAGGCTGGAGTGCAGTGGCGTGATCTTGGCTCATTGCAGTCTCTGCCTCTGCCAGGTTCAAGCGATTCTCCTGCCTCAGCCTCCTGAGTAGCTGGGATTACAGGCATGTTCTACCACACCTGGCTAATTTTTGTATTTTTAATCGAGACGGGGTTTCACCACATTGGTCAGGCTGGTCTCTAACTCCTGACCTAGTGATCCGCCCGCCTCGGCCTCCCAAAGTGCTGGGATGACAGGCGTCAGCCCCCGCGTCTGGCTGCACCACTGTTATTTAAACTTACTTATCCGCTCACTACCAAAGGACATCTTGGTGGCTTCCAAGTTTTGGCAATTATGGGGCACCACCAAAGGGTGGCATTCTTCCCGGCCTCGTCTCCCGTCCTCACCAGCACACTGCACACACCCTACTCACTCTTCCAGTATCCTCCAATACCTGCACGTCCCTCCTGGCACACCGTGTCCTGCTCACTCTACCGGGCAGACCAACACAGAGACTCGCTTTGGCAGTCACGGGTGGGAGGCCCCCTCCCCGCTGCTGTGGCCAGAGAAGACTGGCCGGTTGGAGGGCCAGAGCCAATTTCTAACCAGGCAAGAGTCCCGGGCACGGCGGCTACCACACGCCTCCCCCAGCAATGTGCCTCCAGGCAGAAGCTGGCTTAAACCCTCTCACAACCCCTTAGGGGCAAATTATTTGCATTAATTAATTGGTAGAGTCATGAATTTAAGACGCTGTGCTTGGGACCTACAGCTGCGTTCCCATCGACTTTTTGTTCAGCCAACTCGAAAGGCTCGGGGCAAAGGAAAGTTAGCGGTCTGGGTATTTTAAATCTTGTTAAAATCTGGCCCTGGTGTCTCAACCTTGAGAACCACCACTCCATAGGTTTGAAGGTTTCTTCCTCGCCCTCAAGCTTTTCCTGAGAGCCCGCGCGTCCTGCACGTGTCCATGTGTTAATGATCTATTGCTGTGAAATAAACCACCCCAAACTTAGCAACTTAAAGCAACCACCAGGCCGGGCGTGGTGGCTCACACAGGTAATCCCTGCACTTTGGGAGGCCAAGGCAGACGGATCGCTTGAGCTCAAGAGTTCGAGACCAGCCTGGGCAACATGACAAAACCCCGTCTCTATAAAAAACACAAAAATTAGTTGAGTGTGGTGGTGAGTGCCTGTACTCCCAGCAACTTGGGAGGCTGAGGCTGGAGCATGGCTTGAGCACGGGAGGTTCAGGCTGCAGTGAGTTGTGTTTGCACCACCATACTTCAGCCAGGGGGATACGGAGGGACCCTGTCTTTTTTTAAAAACAAACAAAAAACCAAACCAAAACAACAACAACAACAAAAACGCTCACAGCCCTTCGGGTTGGGCTGGGCTTGGACAGGCCGTTCTGCTGTGCTCCCTGGGGTTCACTCAGGTTGCTGCAGCCACCGGGAGGCGTGGGAGGGCGGTGGCTTGGGTGGGCGGAGGGTCTGAAATGGCTCCATTGACAGGTGTCGGGGCTCTGGCATTGACAGCCAGTTTCATGTCTCTTTCGTGAACTCTCGTCTGTCTGTCTCACCTACATGGTCCCAAGAGGGAGAGTGAGGGGCTGCCCAGGCCTCAGAGCTCACCTGACACTGGGTTTGCCACATTCTATTGGTCAAAGCAAGGCCCCCCGCCCCCCGTGCCCAGATTCAGGCGTGGAGAGAGACAGGCGCTCCCCTTCATAACATGAGCTGTGAAGAATTGAGGACATTTCAAATCTAGTCTCTGTGGCTGACGCGGCATAGTTTACCGCGGTGGAGAGAGAACCCATCTCTGTGTTCGCAGTGATACTGCTGGGCTTTCCGTCACTGCTTTTACATTTTGGTGATCCTCAGAAAATGACAGAAATGCAGAGCTGCTACATCTCTCAGAGTTGAACATCTTCTGGTTTTATGTGTGAGACATTTTTAACTTAATGGCATCTTGGGAGTTACTGCCTGAAAAACCCTTCCTTTTAATTTTAATGCATCACATAATTTGATGAACAAGCCAAATTATTTGCAGCATATATGAATATTCTTAAAACCAAATTGCTTTACGTGTGTAGAAAGATAAGCAAAAATAAAACACTAGACATATTTCATTTTCCCTGTAGTTTATTTTCTTTACAAATTTTTTTTCTATGACTTCAGAATTCCCAGACACATTGCATGTTCACTTCAGGCGTGAGCATTCAATGGCTGTGTGTTCTGCCCCAAGCCAGGGCTGGGAGCTGAGGACGAAGGGACGTCGCAATCCCCACCGCACAGCGGCCGGCCTTGGGGGGACCAGGCCTCGTCCTCCATGACCACGCAGGGCGGTGCCTGCCGGACGTACCCCAGTTAAAGCAAACTGAGGCGTCCATCACCTTTGCCCTGGTTTGAGCTTATGCCCTGGTCTTGAATTCATGAATCAGTCAATTAATTAATGCAAATAATTTGCTCCTATGGGGTTGTGAGAGGGTTTTAGCCAACATCTGCCTGCAGGCATGTTACTGGGGAGGCGTGTGGTGGTCCCGGCGTCCGCCACTCCTGCCTGGTTTGGAACTGGCTCCGACCCTCCAAAGGACCAGTCTCTGGCCACGGCAGCAGGGAGGGGCCTTCCACCCGAGACTGCCAAAGCGAGTCTCTGTGTTGCGGCTGGTTTCTGGAGACCTCGGCCTGCCCCGTAGGGTGGACAGGACCCAGTGTGCTGTGAGGGGCCTGCAGCTTTGGGGGAGTCTGCTGCTGGGTGTGGTAAGAAGGCTGGGGGAGGAGGCGGGAAAGGATGCCACCCTCTGTTGGCCCCACTCGGTGGGTGGGGCCGGCGGGCAGCGCTCTCCAGCCACAGCAGCCCCGAAGTTCAATGAGCACGTTCTGAAAGGCGGCACCCATCGGTGTGGGGCTGGCCTCAGACCCGAGACCTGCCCTGAGTTTTGAGCAATGATTCCAAAGCACGACTCCCGCAGGGTCCGCTTGGGAAGACGTCGGGAGCCCTTGGCCTTCGGGGTCCGTCCACGGTGCAGCCACGGCAGTTCGGGTGATGGACCCACGTAACCATCTCTGATCTAGTTTTACCTGACTCGGTTTCCTCGAGAGCTCAGGGCCCCAGCAGTGGGAGGACCTGCCGTGCTGACTTCCTCAGGCAGGACGGGCAGCAAGGCCATCTACCACAGCACAGGACCAGTGCTGTCCCTGGTGCAGCAGAGGGTTCTAGAAAGGCCAGTCTTGCTCTCTGTGGAAGTCGCAAGCGGGGAGGGATTGTGTTGGAAGCCTCCAAAGGAGCTTCACTTAGACCTGGTGCTCCCTGGAGGAGGAAGCGCCTGGATGGATCACCTCCGACACTTTCCGGTCTGAGCTCAGACGGGAAGGCAGGCGCGGCCCGTGCAGCCGGGTCTCGGTGGGGATGCTGCAGCTGGGGTCCGGCACGGAGTCCTGCCTTCACTCTCGTTTTATTTTAGCAGGCATTTGCTAGAGCAGGCGTCCCCAAACTTTTTACACAGGGGGGCCAGCTCACTGTCCCTCAGACCGTTGCAGGGCCGCCACATACTGTGCTCCTCTCACTGACCACCAATGAACGAGGTGCCCCTTCCTGAAGTGCGGCGGGGGGCCGGATAAATGGCCTCAGGGGGCCGCATGCGGCCCACGGGCCGTAGTTTGGGGACGCCTGTGCTAGACCTTACTATTAAATCTCAAGACAGGGCCAGGCACAGTGGCTCATGCCTGTAATCCCAGCACTTTGGGACCACAAGGCAGGTGGATCACCTGAGGTCAGTTCAAGACCAGCCTGGTCAACATGGCGAAACACTGTCTCTACTAAAAAATAGAAAAATTACCCAGGCGTGGTGGCGGACACCTGTAATCCCAGCGACTCGGGAGGCTGAAACAGGGGAATTGCTTGAACCCTGGAGGCGGAGGTTGCAGTGAGCAGAGATCGTGCCACTGCACTCCAGGCTGGGTGACAGAGCGAGACTCTGTCTCAAAAAACAACAACAACAACAACAACAACAACAACAAAATCTCAAGGGACAGGATTTAACCTGTGGCGTGGCTGAATCCGTATAATAAAATATTTCACAATTTGGAATGTAACAAACTCATAAAACAGAATGGAATAAATGGGGTTGTACTGCTGAATTGCAGTACGTAGAGGCTGCACAACATGCTGGTGAGAACATGAGCCACAAAGCTTGGGTTCTAATCTCAGCTCCACCACTTGCCAGCTGTGTGACCTTGGGCAAGTTACTTAACCTCTCTGGGCCTCAGTTGCCTCTTCTTTACAATGGTGTAATACCACTATTCATTTCAGAGGATTTTTGTGAAGATGATATGCAATAAAAGCACCTGAGAAGCATTAGCCCAGGGCCAGGCCCATAGTCAGTATTTTAATAAGTGCTCATGATGTTATTAGCAACACTCACTGATAACCCAAACGTTTTTTTACCAAACAAACCGAACCATTACCCTCCAGGAACGTGACGGGCCTATGGAAACCACGGCAGAAGCCCCATGCTGTAGGCAAACCAAGCCTTGTTGATTTCCTCCCTTTATCCGCATGGAAACGAAGGGCTGAGAGGCTTGGTAGCTTGGCCAAGGTCACAAGCGAGGGACCCCGGTCAGTGTGACCTTGGCTGTCAGGACGATGATGACTTACTGCCTCTATTGACGTGGAATGGAATTTGATCATGAAAATGCTTTCCCATCCAAGTGGAAATGGAATTGTGCAGCGGGGTTCACTCATTCATTCATTCATTCATTCATTCATTCACAGGTGTTTCCCGGGCATATTCAGCTGTGCCTGTGTGTGTGTTTAAGCTTGGTGTGTAGGTTGAAATGGCTTCCCCATGCCACCTGGCCCCCTCTGGGTGGTGTGGGCAGGGAAGCATGTGGCCATGATCACAGGACCAACTGTTCCCCCAGCCCCCCGTCCAGCTCCGACGCCAGCCTGCGCTTCCCGGACAGCAACGGCCTCCTGCAGACCCCGCGCTGGGACGAGCCGCAGCGAGTGTGTGCCCTGGAGCAGATCTGTGGCGTGTTCCGCGTGGACCTGGGCCACATGCGCTCCCTCCGCCTTTTCTTCAGGTAGGAAGCGTCTCTGGGTGCCTCCTGGGAGTTGGCCTTGTGTGCTTTTCCCAGCAGCCTGGGCTTTGCAGTGCACAGTGTGGGGACACAGGACCCCAGCTGGAGTCTGCATAGGGGTCTCTCTTCCTCCCGCACTGGTCTTGGGGGCAGTGGTTCCCCACTGCGGCTCCCCGGCGGTTCTCAGGCCGGGTGAGCTACCAAGCTCATTCCCCTGCCGTCCGAGTGACGTAGCTCGTGGTGGCTTCCAACTCTGGCTTGGGAGAAGAAACCAAACCAGGGCGGAGGGTAGCAGCTGCAGGCCACTCTGATCCCGGGGAGATGCTCTGGAGCTCCGCCACCCATGGGGGCCGGGCCGAGGCTCTGCAGACGGAGGCTCCCTTCCTTTTGTGACGGGTGGACGATGCCTCTTTTCCTGTCATCGTCCCCACCTCAGATCCTCCTCCCTGTAGTCAGGACCGCCCAGCCACAGACAGCTCCAGCGAGAGGCCCGGGCTTAGAAGAAGCCGGCGTGTCCAGCAGCTGGGGGGGTTCCCAGACCCAGAGCCACATTCCAGCCTTTCATCTCAGGGCAGCCGGGGTTGGGCTGACAGCACTGACGGATGTTTAGTGAGTTTCCCTGGAGGGTTATCCCAGAGTTCCACCCACACGCGACGGAGGAGCTCCGTTTCCAGGAGGTTCTCTTAGCAGACTCAAAACCGGATTCCAGGCACCCAGCATCCACCCCCCAGGTCTCCCGGACGGCGGGGACCATGTAGCAGGTCGGGTGGTCATGGGAGGTCTCCAGAGAAGAGCCCCAGGGCCCCCCAGGAAGGAGCAGTTTCGCCATCTTCAGCAAAGGGGGTCATGGTCTGTGTTCAGGCCCGGTTCTGCCCCCGCCCGCCAGCAGCCAGCTCCACTGGGACGCGCTGTTTCCTGCTTCTGAGGTTGGCGACAGTGGCCTCTGATTATACTTGGAAATTAAAAACCCCGTGTTTACATATTCATCGGGCTTCCCTCTCCCCCCTCCAATGGCCCTTCAGCGACGAGGCCTGCACCAGTGGCCAGCTGGTCATCGCCAGCCGGGAGAGCCAGTACAAGGTCTTCCACTTCCACCACGGTGGCCTGGACAAGCTGTCCGACGTGTTCCAGCAGTGGCAATACTGCACCGAGATGCAGCTCCAAGACCAGGTAGCCCGGCGCACCGCCCCAGCGCGCCCCACTCCCCACGGGGACCCGCCTCCAGCCTGGGTCCTGTTGTCTGGGGTCCCTGGGCCCCGGGGCTTACCGGGTGTGACCCACGGTATCTTTCGGCCATCAGAGCGGCAACCTGGGGCTTGAGACCCGTGCCCAGGGCTCTCTGTAAAGTCAGTGCTCCGCACTTGAAAATTCATGTTTTGACAAGACGTCCTGCCATATTTTGCTCAGTCTACGTACAAATGTAATAAGAGCTCTTTAATTATCTGTTTAAGATAGCGTATGTGCTTATTAGAAACGGGGCCGACTTTAAAATTCCCTTCCTTCCCACAGAGCCTCCTGCTGGCTCCCCTTATTACAGTAGCATGGCTTTCTCTCCCCCTGCATTGAACAACCTTTGATTTTTGAATTAAATGTCAGCTGCAGTTTTGCCCTGGATTCGTGACTGCGCGCGGAGACAATCTGACAGGCTGGCTCCCCGCTCGCAGAACAGCCATCCCTTTGTATGTGGCCAATCACATGTAATTCATTGCAGGCCCTCCCGGCAGAGGGAAGTTAGGCCCAGCCAGGCATTAATTCCGTTTTTGCGGCTGGCGCTGGAGAGAGTGGGGGGCGGTGGCACAGTGGGCCGGGGACAAGGGAGCCGCAGAGGGAAACCGATTTTCAGATGAAGGTATTTTCATTTTAATTGCGGCTAATTACGCGCGCCATTTAGGGGTTTGTATGCAGGGGACGGCCCTTGCCCTCCTTTCAGAAGAGAGAGAGGCTTTTCATCCTGGGAAAAGCACCGCGGGCCTCGGGGGCTGGCGGCTGAGATCCTGACCTTTGCCCAGTTTTCCTCGCGTCCAGCAGGTCGCCCCCGAAAAGACCTGCATGCAGTTTTCCATCCGCCGCCCCAAGCTGCCGTCCTCCGAGACCCACCCGGAGGAGAGCATGTACAAGAGGCTGGACGTCTCTGCCTGGCTCAGCCACCTGAACGAGCTGGGCCAGGTGGAGGAGGAGTACAAGCTGCGGAAGGTGAGGCCCGGGCCCGGCCGGCCGGCCCTGCGGAGAGCCGGCCAGGAACCGGGCAGTGAGAGGGAGGGAGGGAGGGCCGGGGCCTGGCCGCCTGCCCGCACCCACGGGCCACCTCCTCGGGAGGGCCCCGTTTTCTTGTGTGAGGTTCTCTGTGAACACACCGATAAAGCAGTCAAAGCCGCTGTGTTGAAAAAAAAAAAAAAAAGAGAGAGAACACCTCCCTCTCGGGTTTGGGGGGATACCGTGTCAGCCTGCATAGAAGGGTTTGCAGTGAAATGCAGCATTTCCAAAACCAGGGATTAGGCCACGACGTGAGAACGACACGTTAATCTGAGCGCCACCCCAGGGGGGGCATTGACATTGAAATGAGCCGGGTTTGTGTCCTGTATGGGAATTGAAGGCCACCGCTTTCCCCTTGTAAACATGCAAATTGCAGAGATCTGAATCAAGGCGCACCAAAGCCACCAAAACACACATCTCTGGGGATTTGGGGGTCCTTTGAGCCGCCCTATTTTATCCCCTCCCCAACTTTTGCCGCTTCCTCCAGGCCATTTTCTTTGGCGGCATTGATGTGTCAATCCGGGGGGAGGTCTGGCCCTTCCTGCTGCGCTATTACAGCCACGAGTCCACGTCGGAGGAGCGGGAGGCGCTGCGGCTGCAGAAGCGGAAGGAATACTCTGACATCCAGCGGAGGAGGTAACCGCCCGGCCGCCCGGCCCGCCCCGCGAGCCGCGGAGGAAAATGTCATTTGAAAAGGCAATTTGAGGTGCAATTCAGCATTGATAATATGTTTCGTGACCCATAGTTTCTTTCAGAAATGGGTCTCCCAGGAACGTGAGTGATAGGGTGGGATAAGTGCAGTCATTAAAGCGAGCACTCGGGCCTCGGAACTGCGGGCTCGTTAGCTCACATGTCAAGGTTTTAGAATTCGCCTTCGACAGACTTAACGAGGCGCTGACGTCCCGCAGCTGAAGGCCGGCGCTAGGAGCAGGGCCCCGAGGGGTGAAGGCCTCCAGAGGCGGGACTGCCGTGTCCGACTTGGGGTCCGCTCACCCAGGCCTGGGGGCAGCTCTCTCTCCGGGAGGCTGGGACTGGGTGAAGCCCCTGGCCTGTGCTCAGCTTCCCTCCAGAACGCTGGTTCGGGGCCAAGGCCTCATTATCCATTGGGCTGCAACGTTCTCTTCTCTCTGGGACGCTGGAGCCTGTGAGGCTGAGTTAATGCTGGGGAGAGCCTTGGATGCACGCCACCCATCCGCCGCGTCGGGGAGAGCTGCAGCCAGCAGCCGCCGCCCAGCTCCCATCCAGGGAACGGGGTTGGGAGGGAAGGCGGCTTCCCGGAGTGTGTCCCCACGTGATGCCTCCAGGTGCCGCCCGCTGACCCCGGCCGGGTGCTCTGCTCCCCACAGGCTCTCCATGACCCCCGAGGAGCACAGAGCGTTCTGGCGCAACGTGCAGTTCACCGTGGACAAAGACGTGGTCCGGACCGATCGTAGCAACCAGTTCTTCCGAGGGGACGACAATCCCAACGTGGAGAGCATGAGGTACTCCTCCCAGCCAGCCCGTTCCCCATCTGCAAGTCTGCAAGCTCTCCTGGCCCCTCTGGGAAGTGGATGAGCCCCCAGCGACCTTCTGCAGGGGCTGTCTTTCAGGTTCAGACATCAAAGCCCCAGAAGTGAAGGACACGCTACTCATGAGCTACTTGAGTCGGCATCTCAGAGCCACGGCATCCCAGGGAAACCAGGGGGGCCCACAGAGCCCCCCATCCCCTGGGCACCGCCAGGCCTGTCCTTGCTTGGCTCATACCAACCACGGACCAGCTTCCCCATGCACCCCCTCCACCTCCCCGTGGGTGGTCCTGCAGTCATACAGCCACACAGAGTCAGAGGCTGGCATCTGTGACATTCTGCTGCAGCCTAGCAAATAATTGCACAAAATTAACAGCCCACAGAAATGTCCCTGCCAGCCCACCCCTTGCCACAGGCAGTCCACCCTTCTGAACATCAGACCCGTGTTCCCCCTCACGCCTGGTCTCAGGTTCTGGGCCTAGGCAGCAGCTAATGGCAGGCTATTGCTTTTTTGTCTGAGATGGAGTCTTGCTCTGTCACCCAGACTGGAGTACGGTGGCGTGATCTTGGCTCACTGCAACCTCCACCTCCCGGGTTCAAGCGATTCTCCTGCTTCAGCCTCCTGAGTAGCTGGGATTACAGGTGTGCACCCCACCATGCCCAGCTAATTTTTGTATTTTTAGTAGAGACCGGGGTGTCACCATGTTGCCCAGGCTAGTCTCGAACTCCTGACCTCAGGTGATCTGCCCACCTCGGCCTCCCAAAGTGCTGGGATTATAGGCATGAGCCACCTCGCCTGGCCAGGCCATTACCTTTGCAAAGCAAGGGTCTGTGTGTCCGGAACGTCAGCTTGGGCTCTGAGATGGTGGCAGAGCTGCCTTCCACCGAGAGGAAGGCCGGCGGGGGCAGGCAGGGTTCACGGCCCAGGGTTCTGCGGGGTGGGCAGTATGCCACGGTGAGGGCCATCCCCAGCCTCTGCTGTCTCCACTGCCTCCCAGGAGGATCCTGCTGAACTATGCCGTCTACAACCCAGCCGTCGGCTACTCCCAGGGCATGTCGGACCTGGTGGCGCCCATCTTGGCTGAGGTCCTGGATGAATCGGACACCTTCTGGTGCTTTGTGGGTTTGATGCAGAACACGATCTTTGTCAGCTCCCCTCGGGACGAGGACATGGAGAAACAGTTGGTGAGGCTCAGGGGGACGGGTGCATCCAAGGGCTGGAGGGCCCAGGCTGCCTCTCCCCTTGCAGCCGGGGTTGCTGTGGTGACACGTGGCTTGGCTGCTGTGGGTCAGTGGGCAGCGGAAAAGCCAGGACAGGACTTGCCGTGGGATACGGGTGGCTTTGCCCTGGGTCTCTGGGGATGTCTCCCAACTCCCTGCAGGTCCAGAGGCCATGTGGTATGGGCAGCCCTTGTGGCCTCCCCCTATCCCCCTATACGTGACAGCGTGGCCCGGACTCCCTGGCTGGGAAGGAAGGGGAGGCCCCATCACACCCAGCCCTCCCTGCGCCGTATAAAATGCCCCTGCAGGAGTCAACACAGCCAGGGCTTCTGAGTGGGGATAGGGAGAGGAGGGGCTCCTGACGTCCCCATGGGGCCCGCGGGGGCAGTCCTCACGTCCCACTCCTTCCCTGGGGTGCCAGGCTGACACCTCCCCCATCAAGGCCTCCTCAGAAGGACCAGGAAGCTCTGAATGTTGGCGGTGGGGCTGAGCCCAGTCGGACGAGGTAGGGCCCGAGGGCCATTGTGCGGCACAGGGACGGAGCCAGGGACACCTGCTCAGTGTTCCCAGCACACATCGCCTGTGTCCATCAACTACCTGCTGGGCGCAGGCACAGACACTCACCCTCCCGGCCGGGAGATGCTCGGTCAGGAAGCCAGCATTGTGAGCAGAGGACACTGGGTACCGGGAGTGCTGCAGGAGGTGCCCGTGATAAGGACGGGAGGGCCCCTGCACTGGGGACAGCTCCAGGGTGCATGGGGTCTGGCCCCGAGCATCGCTAAGGCTGGGCTCAGCAGAGCAGTCCTGGTGGTGGCACTGAGTGACCCTGTCTTCTTGGACCAGACCCATCACAAGTAGTGAGGGTGGAGCTGACGGAGGGCCTCACAGGCCTGGGCCACAGGGTCCCTACCCTGCAGCCACGGAGCGTGTCTCAGAACAAGGTGTCCACCCCCAGGCTACAGAGCCCATCTCATAGAACGGGGGTCTCCACCCCGGGACACAGAGAGTATCTGATAGAATGGGGTCCACCCCGCGGCCGCAGAGCGTGTCTCATAGAATGAGGTCCCCACCCCCAGGCCGAGGGCTGGTGCTGGTCGGTGGCCTGTTAGGAACCAGGCCGCACGGCAGGAGGTGAGCAGTGGGCGGGCCAGAGTGAATCCCCACCTGGGCTCCACCTCCGTCAGAGCAGCAGCGGCATGAGATTCTCAAAGAAGCTCGAGCCCTAGCACCGTATCGTGAACGGCACTGCTGCTGAGACTCTAATGCCTGATGATGTGAGGTGGAACAGTTCCAACCCGAAACCATTCCCACTACCTGGTCCATGGGAAAATTGTCTTCCAGGAAACGGGTCCCTGGTGCCACAAAGGTTGGGGACCGCTGCTATAGACTCCCCGTTAGGGGGTGGCTGACGACAGGCTGGGAGAGCTGAAGCCAACAGACAGGATTGGAAGGCAAAGGAGCCCAGCAGGGAGGCGCAGGCACCTGCATAGGGCTGGGAGTGGAGCATCTGCAAGGGTGTCGTCCACATGGGGGGACTTAGCCCGGCGGCAGGCACAGGGCGGGGGGCGGAGGGCAGCCACACAGCTCCAGCGCAGTCTCCCGTGGGAACAATAGGCCAGCGGTGTGGGAAGAGGCATGTGCCCCTGAGCCCTGCCCCAGGACCCCCCAGCTGTGATCTAACCCCGCCGACCCAGCTGCGGGCTGACCCTCACCGAGCCTCCTCACTCTGTGTCACCCAGTGGGTGTGACATCAGGCGTCCAGGTTGCCTGGGGAGGCAGTCACAGCGCCCAAAACCATTCGCCCCTGACGGCTCAAGGCAGCACATGGCTGGGTGACTCATTGACTGCTGGAGATTGATTTTCCAGAAGCATTGATGAAGTCAGTGTCCTGAGGCCAGGTGCTGCCAGAAATAGCCCCAATCTTGTCTCACATCACTGGGAGGTGACCTTAATGGCAGGAATCGAGCATCCTGGGGATCAGACACGGCCCCTTTTTCTTCCACATAGAAGATGAGCAGAGCCGAAGTGAGGGGGGCAGTTCCCTGGATGATCCACTCACCTTACCAGGAGGGTGGACGTGGGAAACAGCCCCTAAATGTCCACTGAGGCTGAGGAGCCTTCCTGGACTTGTAGTGGCTGCTCAGCCTCCGCCACGCTGGGGAACAACACTCGCCCTGGGCCACACCACAGCCTCCAGAACAGTCAGGTCTTGGAGGAACTGGCAGAGGCAGGTGTGAGCCAATTCTCCTGGTGGAATAAAGTAATGGGGGACAGGCACGTGCAGCAGGCAGAGGCCCTGGGTGTGCTTTTCCAGGTCGGGGAGGCCCGAGGAAAGGGGGCCCCCTGGGAGTGAGCTTCCTGTAATGGGGGACAGGCAGGTGCAGCAGGCAGAGGCCCCGGGTGTGCTTTTCCAGGTCAGGGAGGCCCGAGGAAGGGCCTCCGGGCAGCAAGCCGGCAAAGGGCCGGGCTAACGGGTGCTGGCCTCGTCCTCAGCTGTACCTGCGGGAGCTGCTGCGACTGACGCACGTGCGATTCTACCAGCACCTGGTCTCGCTGGGCGAGGACGGCCTGCAGATGCTCTTCTGCCACCGATGGCTCCTGCTGTGCTTCAAGCGTGAGTTCCCCGAGGCCGAAGCGCTGCGGATCTGGGAGGCCTGCTGGGCGCACTACCAGGTGAGCCGGGGCAGGGGCCCAGGGCAGGGCAGGTTGGGACCATGGCCCCTGAGCCACCGTGGCCACCCTGCCCCCTGCCCCTGTCCGCCTCGCCGCCCCCCACCCACAGCCACGCATCAGCCCCCACGCGGCGACTGCCTTCCAGTCCCACGTGGCTGGCTCCGGACCTCGAAGCTCGCTTCCCCAGTCGCTGAAATCGATGCAAATTGCCCGCTGACTGCGCTCATTACCACTTTCTGGGGCTGAGCTCCCTCCTGTCACAACCGATCAGTGTGAGTGACATCGTCGGGGCCTGCGCAAGGCCACAGCAGCCCGGGACGCTGGTGCCCACGAGCGGGGGCCAGCACTGCCCTGCCCCCTCAGGACTGCCCTGCCATGAGGGCTGACTAATGTCACCCTCCTGTGCAGAGAACCGGCCTGAGACCCCCCCTTCCCCGTCGGCCCCTCCAGAGGGCCCCCGTCGGCGACGCCGCCTCCCACTCTCCGTCCACGGCCACCAGCACCTTCTCAGCAAATTCCCCTTGGAGCACAGCACTGGCTCTGTCACATGGCCTTAACGCCCAAATTAGGGACAAGCTGGAGATGTCAAAAGATAAGCGAGTCTGTTTGAATCCATCAGCCTCTTAAAAGAAACTCGAACTGACGCATCCGGGAGGGCGGGACCCTGTGGCCGGAGCGGGCTCCCTCCACCGCAGCAGCTCCAGCAGCCTCCGTCAGAGAACCCTGCAGACAGACGGATGAGAACACCCACCTGCCGGAAGACATTTGCGTCAGCGCCTCCCGTCCTCACTCACACCGCAGGGGGCTGATGTCTGATAAAAGCGAGTCTGGAGCCACAGAGTGCCGGTGCCACGGCCACCTTGGCGTGCGTTGATCGGCTCACCCCGGCCCGGGTCGGGTTTCTCTCCTGGCTTAGCCTGCTCCGCGTGGACGCGCGGGACGGACGATCCGCTTTCATAAAGGGAACCCCGGCAGGGATGGACCGAAAGCCCGCTTCCCCCCACCCCCGCCCACGGAAAAAAAAAAAAACATCGGGCCTCCTTACACGTTTTTCCAGTGGCACATTTGCCGCCTTCATTCCTTTGCGTTCATGCTATTAGGAGCGGACTGAGGGCGTGGCCCAGCGGGTGGGCCCTGTCCCGGGCACCTTCTATGTCCGAGTGTAATGAGATCTAGCCAGAGTTGCAGCACGGGGCCCGTGTGACGTGCGCCTCATCTCTGTTGCCTGCCGTTTTTCTGGAAGTCCACACAGCAAGTTTCTGTTGTTTTCAGACTATGGGCTGAACTTAGCCACAGTTGGTCGGTCCCTTGATCAGTTTGGCGGTATTACGGGGTGGGGCTGGGCCGCTAAGGAGCCGGGACTGAGCTCTGTGGAACGGGAAGGTCGCTGTCAGGTGAGACCTTTAACTGTCCAGCGACCCCTGAGCGAGAAGAGGCGGGGTGCTCCATGTGCTGCCCGTGGGTGGTGGGGCTGGACAGCCCACGCCCCGCCTGTCCCGGGAGCTGAACCCCGCCCGTGCCGTGCAGCCTGTGGACAGCAGGCCCTCCCTCTCCCTCCCCACATTCCTCTCCCGGAGAAGCTGGGCGTCCACCTTCCTGGAACTCCTCCACCGTGTCTCACCCCAGCCACAGTTCAGATCGTAGCGAAAGGATCCGTTGGAGCCAAAACAAGACCGTCAGGAGGAGTTGAGAGGAAGGAGCGGGGTCGCCTGGTGCAGGGTCCCTCCCGGGGCAGGCCGGGGCGTGGGAGGCGCCCACAGCCTCTGCCCTCACGGTGTGCTCTGCGCAGCCTGGACTGGGGACACCGTTCCGCTGGCTTGTGTGGTCGATGTCAGGAGACTAAACATGGACTTCCCGGTGCCCCCCGTCCTTCCTGTGCCTCCGGAAACACGCGTGCATCAAAGGCGGCGCGCCTCGAGGCGTCCCGGCCAGAGAGCACGCAGGACGCGCGGTCAGGACCCGCTGGGCTTCCTGCTGCGCACGGCTCCATGCCGGCAGGCCCCAGAGGCGGCCTAAAGGGCGGGCAGCGGCATCCTCAAAGGGCGCCCGAAGAGAGGCTCAAGGACAGCGGGGTCGTTTCAGCCACCCCGAGGGGGAGCGGCTGTGCCTGCTCTGTTAGGATCGTCCCACTTTCCTAGCTACAAACTGTACAGTCGTCTCTGGGGCATGATGGGGGGGGGGGTGGCCTGCAGCCAGGAGGACAGGCTGACCCGTGGGTGGCTGCCAGAGGCACAGTCCACAGCCCGCTGGAGTGAGTTCTGACCCAGCCTTCCCCACTCACCGTTGCTCGAGACCGTTACAAGTGAGGCCTCCCCACGAGCGCAGGCCAGGCCTCCTGAAGAAGGGCGTTCTCGGCCCCCATCATGGAGGCCACCCACACTGCCACCCAGGAGAGCAGCAACAGCCCAGGCATGTGGGTCCCAGGACGGACCCCATGTGCAGGAGGGGAAACTGAGGGCCAAAGGCGATGTAGCTTGCCCAGGGCCTCAAGGCCTCAGAGCTGGGCACCGAGCCCAGACGCCTTGCCCCGAAGCCCTAGCTGGCACCTCGGCACTCAGTTTCCCCCGGAGGCAGGGCCTGGGGCTCCGTCAGGGCCCGAGTCTGAACTCTCCCCGCCTCCACAGACAGACTACTTCCACCTTTTCATCTGCGTGGCCATTGTGGCCATCTACGGGGATGACGTCATCGAGCAGCAGCTGGCCACAGACCAGATGCTCCTGCACTTCGGAAACCTGGCTATGCACATGAATGGGGAGCTGGTGCTCAGGAAGGTGAGGCTGCCCTAGACCCCAGACGCCCCAGACGCCGGCCCTGCCCCCTCCCGTCGCGCCTGGAACTCCCCACCAAGGCGTCGGGGTCAGCACCTGGCTGTCCCCTCACTCTCCTGGGGTTCCAGCCCTGACACAGGCGCCTCCCTCGCTGGCCGAGGAGGGAAGGAATTCCTGGGCTGAGCCACCCTAGGGCACCTCGCTTATAGCCCAGAGCTAGGAACACTGAGACTGGGCCCAGGGGGCCGGGGTGGCCAGAATTCTGGGGGTCTTGGGCTCTGGCCCCCTCCCCCGCTTCCCAGACTCCTGGAGACACTGCCCTTTAGCTCTGTGGTCGTCCTCAGGGCAGTGAGGAGGCATCCCAAGGTTGGTGGTGCCCTCCGGCACAGGACGCAGATCCTGCAGGAGCTGAGGGGCTGCTGGGGAGCGGGTTGGGCAGGTGGGAGGTGGGGAAGGAGTCAGAGAGGGGCCTGCCAAAGGGATGGGTGGGCTTGGCCGGGCGAGGCCGGGCCCTGTGCTGCTGTGGTCCTGTTCACTCTCCCGATGAAGCCCATCCGGGGGCCTTCCTCACCTTGAGCCACCTGTGACTCAAGGCCCATCACTGCAGCCCCCTAAGACCCGGGGCCCCGCCGTGCCGGTGAAGGGGGAGTCGCAGACAGAGAGCCCGGGACACAGTGAGCCCCCGCGTGCAGACCGTTGCTGCTCCTGCTCCTTGCCAGCCACTCCCGTGGGGACCCTGGGCTGCCAGGCTGTCCCCCGGCCCCTCCTCACCTCCTGCCCTCTCTCTGCAGGCGAGGAGTTTGCTGTACCAGTTCCGCCTCCTGCCCCGGATCCCCTGCAGCCTGCATGACCTGTGTAAGCTGTGCGGGACCGGCATGTGGGACAGTGGCTGCATGCCTGCCGTGGAGTGCACCGGCCTCCACCCCGGCTCGGAGAGCTGTCCCTACGGGGGCATGGTGGAGACGCCTTCTCCCAAGCCCCCGAGGGAAGGCAAGAAGGGCCTCAAGACGCCGCAGGACGGCTTCGGCTTCCGCAGATAGGTCAGGCCCCCAGCATTGGGCCGGGGTTGAGGGGACCTCCCCGGAGGCCCTGGGCATGGGAGGGGGTGGGGCTGGGCGCGGAGGGGATAGGGACGGTCGGAACCTAAGGAAAATGCTTTTGGGCAATGTGAGAGGAACCTTTTCATATTAGCAACAAAATGAGGGTCCGGAAGTGACAGAAGTCAGACCTGCAGCCACCTGGAGGGGAGCCAGCTCCTGAAACGCTGCGGGGGAACGTATGGCCGCTGTGCCTGAGGCGCAGGCTGGCCAGGCTCTCCTGCTGGCTGCCCTGGAGGATTTCAGCACGTCCAGGATTTGCTCCAGCCTCTCGGGCAGCCAGGCAGCACTGCCAGGTGAGGAGAGCAGAGGTGAGAGGCGGCCTCGCTCACCCAGCAGCGTCGAGGGCTACAGAACAGAGCGGGGTCCCGTCCAGGTCCAGGGATATCTCTGCAAGCCAGACACATGACACCTTGTGCTCTCCGAGTGAGCCGCACTTCCTACAGCTTCCCCAGCCGCAGCTGGGATGCCGATGGAAAGACATCTGCCATTAAAAAAAAAAAACCCAGCAGCCCAACTGATGTGGGGACGGAGAGGTGGAAGCGCAGTCAGGTTTGAGGAGCTGGGGCATGCTGTGTTTATCCGCTTCAACATTTCTCCTCCTGGTACATGAAGGGGACCACCCGCCTGCCGGGGAGCCTGAGCCTCAGGCTGTTGGAGAAGCATCCGATGCCTTTTTCTTACCTGGGGGACTTCTATGTGACGTGAGGTTCCTTGACACTGTTGAAGGTCACCCCCACCAAATACAACAGCCCGCTGGGGCTTGAGTGGGTCGCTGTGTGTGTCCTTGCGTGCATGCGTGTTTGTGTTGGAAGATCCTCTGAAGATGATCTGCTTTGTCCCAGGGATGTGGCAGTATATTAGCTGACCAGCCGAGACAAGGCCACCTGGAGATAGTCAGACTCTTCCACCTCCCTGCAGGGCCTGCAGTCTCTGCTGTGAACTCAGATATACACATCAGCTTCTCAGGTGGTCGGGCGTGAGAGAGACCAAGTGCAGGAGCCAGCGCTCAGGACTCTGCCTTCCCGACACACTCTCCCTCCTCCAAAAGACTGTATGTCAGTTGCTCCTTCTGGAATGTAGAGATGGACAGACAAGGGCGTGCGATCTCTGCCGTGAGAGCTTCCAGCCAGCTCAGACGTGTCGAGCCATTTGCACAGAAAGCTACTCCTTGAGCAGGGAGACCAAATCCCTCCTGAAATCCTCCACTGTGTCCTTCTGGGGAGAAACCCCTTGATGTGCTGAGAACCATCATGGGGACAGGGACAGGGGGCTTCTTCCCACTTGAAGCTTTTCTCCCTCAAGGGTGGGCACTGCTGGACCATGCCACGTCAAAGCAGTGTTTCTCTGCGGGAAAGTGGACGACACCATTTACCGGCCTCCTCCTCCTCCTCCCGGCGTCTCATTTCTCTGTGAGCCCAGGCCCACCAGCAGGCAGTCCCAACTTCCCAGGTCCGTCTGTCCAAGAGCCTTTTGGAGAGACTTTCCTGGAGCCCTATCAGAGGCCAGATCCTGGGGCACCAACCATTACTGTCCAGCAGTGGGGGGGTCCTGCAGCAGGGGTGGGGTGGGCTTCTCCTCCACTTTGCCCTGGGAAGAGAGGGTTGCCTTTCTGGGCTGGCTCCTGGTCTGTTAGGGAGGTGGCTGGAGCTTCCGCCCCGACCCCCCAAGAAACCAGTTCTCTCCATTGCTACAGCAGTGCTGCGTGATGAGTCCCAAAGCACTCGGTGGCTTGCAGCAGTCGGCACTGACCTAGACCAGGAGTCAGCAGTCTGGGCGGGGCGGTTCTGCCGGTCTAGGCTGGGTTTGCTTGTTTGAGGCCAGCAGGCTGCCAAGTCCCAGGAGATGCTCCCGGTGCAGAGGTCAGACCTGCTCTGTGGTCTCTTGCGTCCCTCCTGCGGACCAGCGGGAAGGAGACAGTAAGCGCCTCTCCGAGCCTCGGCAGACAGCACCCCTGCAGCCCTCCGGGTGGCCACAGCAAGCCATGTGGCTGGGCTCAGCATTAAGGGGTGGAGGACGCACCTGCCACTTGAGTGTCCCCTCTGCACAGTCAGGTGGCAGTAGACTGAGAATTTGGAGGGCCAAAGAACTGGGACTCCGAGGAGTCTGTGTCCTAATAACTCCTGCTTTGGGGCACTCATTCCCCACTCCCCCTCTCCAGGAGAATGGTCCTCGCATTTCACTAGATAACCTTGTGCCTTTGAGCTGCTGTTTGGGAGGAAGGAAGAAGGTGGCCAGGTCCGGGTCCCCTGGCTTGGGAAGGTCCTAGTAGAAGGCCATTCCTTCCGAGTCTCCTGGCCCTACAGCTTCTCACCTCCGCTGCTCCCCAAGACCTGACCCAGACCCATCAGCCGCATCTCCGCACCAAGTGCTGCCCCCACCGGGCACTGCTCACACCTCACACTCCCCATGGGCTGGCCCGGACCCCAGTGAGGCCTGCACCTCTCAGACCAGCCAGGACCTCGGAAGCCCTGCCCCGGGTACTCAGGGCTCCACGGAGGGGACGCTGCTGGGGGTGGAGAAGCCCCGCCCTCCGCACCTCCCTTAATCTGGATGCAATTAGAGGAAAGCAGCCAACGGCCTGCGGCAGCTGTTGCCCCGGGATTATTCCCAGCCAGCGAGAGGCATTAGGGCGATAATTCAGTCATTAGACTTCTAGCCTTCCCACCGCCAGAACGTGCAAATGGGGGATAATCAGCCCTGCACGGCCGTCCTAAGCAATGCCGCTTATTTAACCCATTTTTTAAAATGACACTTAATGTTATTGGCTGGCGGACGTGTGTGCGCATACTTACAAGTTGACGCGTGGTGCGGCCCTGCTGCCAAGGTCTGCGCTGACGGCGGCGCCCGGTGCTGCTCGGGGCCTCTGGGAAGAGAGGGCATCTTTGATGTGGGCGTGCTGGCACCCGAGGGGCAGCATGGTCAGGCTCGATGCTGGCTGGCCCTGGAAGGTCCCACCGGGGTTGGGGGGTCAGGTGAGCACTCAGAGATCTGGGCAGGAAGCGGGGAGCCTGGCGTCCTCACCAGGGACAGAGGGGAAATGTGGGCTGCTCCAGAAGGTTCTGACTCCAGTCGCAGCCCCGAGGACTCAGAACTCACAAGCCACAGACCAAGTATCGGTATCGAAGGAGGGCCGCAGCCCACCCCTGCAGAGGAGGAGGAGGAGGAGGAGGAGGGTCTGAAGGTGGGAGGGCAGCCACTGTTCTGACCAGCCAAAGCGCAGGGCAGAGGGGAGGAGTTTCCGTGTCCAGGAGGGAGAGACCCTCCACCCTCTGACCCTTCAGTTTTCCACAGTAGCCCGGTGTGAAGCCTGTGGCGTCGGGCAGGGCATCAGCACAAGATGAAGATGCTGGTTCTGGCATGAGGCCTCCCCTCGGACCAAGGGCCAGTGGCTGGCAGAGGTTGCCCAGCTCTGGCCTTCGGTTGGAGGTCACTGGGAATGGAGGTGGGGTGCGGGCTGTAGACCGTGCTGGGTGGGTGGTGCTTCTATTCCTGTAAGGCCCGCCCCTCTGAGCCCCCTTGCCTGCTTCTGGTTTGGCGGAAGTAATGCTGGGCACAGCGCCCAGGTGATGAGAACCTGCCCGTGCTGTGCCCTGCGGAAGGAAGGATGTGTTTCTGGTGTGGCCTCCCCTCTCCCCTGTGGGAGGCTGGGGGTGTCGGGGCTCCACCCTGGGCTCACTGGGCAGAGGGAAGGAAGCACCTTCCTGTATGCTCTGCAGAGGCCCCTGCAGGCCACTTTGCCTCAGAGGAAGGAGGAAAGGTCCCCTGGGACATGCACGCGCACGCACACACACACACACACACACGTGCAGGGCTGCAGCCTAGGTCAGGACTGGCTGCCTTGCTGGGCCTGCCCCATTCTCAGAGTCCGCGGGGAACGGGTCAGCCTCAGGATCTCCTCAGTTCCTTGTTTCGGAGCCAGGCTGCAAGGCCGCTCCTGGGTGTGAATGCATTCTGTCCTGGGCCTCTGTCCAGTCAGAGGGAACCACCCCAAAACTAGAAAGCTCATTTCCCCTGAGGGTTCGTGAAGCCAGAGGGCATGCTCTAGGGTGGGGGATGGCGGGGCAAGAGGAGGTGCTGCGGAAGGGGCCCTGGCCCCTGCTGCCTGTGACTCTCCCAAGTATGCGGCCTTCTGCCTCCCCCAGCCTCAGTTTCCTCACCTGTAACATGAGAACAAGGCCGCCTGCCTGCCCGGGCCACCTCCTGGGACTGCAGTGGGGACTCTGAGTGTCAAACTGTCCTGAGGATGATTTCTGAAGTCCCAGGAACCACACCTGCCACTCAGGGAAGAGACCGCTGACCTCAGCCATCAGCCGCATGCATCATGAAGGGGAGGGACTGAGACCTGCTCCCTGGTTCAGAGTTAGCAAGCCTGCGCTCCCTTCCACACAGCCACCCAACCGTGTGTCCTCTGCCAAGGGCCAGCTTCTATGTGAGTCTTCTGTGAAATGCACCGTGTTCTGCCCACGCCTGCCGCGAGACCCACCCTCAGCCCTCCTGCCAGGTGTGTGTGTGCGTGAATGCACGTGCAAAGCTCTCTCCATCAGGAAGGTGGTGTGGGCCCTGCGGGTCCTACCCCTCGGGCTTGAAGCTCCCTCGGGCTGTAGACTCTGGTCTCCTGGATCAGGAGCGTTAGAATCAGGAGATGAGTGTCCCTGGGCAGAACCGGGGGTGCAGACGGCCTGCAGCCTTCTGGCCTTTTAAGTATATCGCTTGCATTTCCAAGTAGAAAGGTCGCATTTCAAGTTCAAAGACAGATCATGCAACCATCTCTCCTCCAGCACTTTTGGGGTAAGGAGGACGGTTTTTGTTACAGTTTAGGGGAATTTTTCATCAAATTTCCACCATTAACCAAGAGACGACTGACGTCCATGGCAAGGGATTTATTCTTGGCATTCTGTTTCATTCGGTTTTTTAAATGTCATCGCCCACTGGTGGGGTCCAGGACTGGTCTGAGCCGTGCTAGCCACAGCCCCAACAATGCTTCCGGCTTTCACGGATTCCACAGCAAATAAAGCCGTACTGACAACAAACGCACACTGTGCAGCGCCTCTGGAAGCTCTGGTGGGACTGCTGGGTCGGAGCGAGGCAGGCTCCGGTGCTGGCAGAGAGGGCCCCGAGGCCCGGCTTCTCCTGCGTTCCGAGATGGGGGAGGGGAGGGTGCAAAGGAGAGCTGGGTGGGGGCTGTGGGTGGGCAGCGCTGGGCCTGCAGGGTGGGCTGCTCGGAGGAAGGGCAGCCCCAGGCCCCGGCAGGCAGCGATGGAGGGTGATGTGGAGTGCTTCCAGGGTCTCACGCAGGAAAGGGCCCGTTAACTCTGAGCACCTGGGAGCCTCGCTCCGGCCCGGGTGCCGGGAAAGACAAACAGTATTTTATTGAGCCTTAGCCGTGGGGCTCCGGTTTCAGGAAAAGCCTCAGTCTTGCATTTGTGAGTTTTTTTAAAGAGGCAAACAAGGTGAATTTGACCTTGCTAGGGGTGGGAGTTAGGGAGAATTCAGGCCGCCCTGCCAAGCTCCTGGAACCTCGAAGCAGGGATGGGCAGAGGTGCGTGGTTCTCCTGGTTCTTCGGGAGCACAGAGGGCGTGGAGCTCCAGCCCCTCACCAACACCCTCTGGGGTTTCCAGCTTTTTCTGTTATTTCCTGTGGCTCTTTCCCCTTTTGCCTGCCTGGGGGCTGGGGGACAGCATGAGTCATCTTATCTGCATCACTAGGGGTTTCATGTCTGAGTGGCCCGTCTCACCTGCCACCTACCTGGCCTTGGCTTGGACATCTGAGAGCCTCATCACCTCCTCTCCACATGCCTGGGGTGCCCCTCCCAAGGCTGGCTGGGCAGGTGCCATGGGCCAGGTCCTAGGAGGAGCGACGGGCTTCTCCCAGGAAACACAGCAGAGCCAGCGCTGCCTGCCTGAGGAGGCGCCCCACTACCAGGCATGGCTGGTGGCTCTGTTTAAAGAAATCTTTGTCCACGTGCGGGTGGGAGGTGCTTCCCCATCCTGCCTGGAAGCCACGCCCTGGCTCTGTGGAATCTGCCACAGCTGTGGAGGCTGAGTGACGACGGAGGGGCCTGATGGCTCAGGGGCCCCTGACGTCACCACCTCCAAGGCAACAGGACTGGACCGCACAGCTCCTTGGGACTGATCCCACCCCCACGGGTCAGCCCTGTAGGAGGACAAGGCCCACCATGACCCCACCTTAGGCTGCCAACTGGACCTGTCCCTCCAGGAAGGGCCCTTCCGACCTGACCAGCAGCTGGTTCCCGGGGTACAGCTCAGACAGGCAGCATCGTGCTCACGTTCGCCTCTGCTATGCCTACTTCCCCTGTATGTGACAACTGTGTAGTTACCCATGCTGGCCAAGGGGACATGTGCCACCCGGCGAGCCACACTTTTCAGGGGAGGTGCTTCAGGCAGGCCTGGCTCTGTTGTCCGGCAGTCCTGAGGGCGGGCGGTGCCCGCTCCGTGCCCGGGGAGGGCTCTCTTGCCACACAGCTGGGTGGTGTACATGCCTCGGTGTTCCCATCTCAACCAGCTGCAGAGACGCCAGAAGGGAGGTTCTCTGGGGTCCTTGTTCACGTCAGGGAAAGCATCCTGTCTGCAGCCCTGTTCCACATCATTCACGCGTTCATTCCGATAGGACCGTGGTACCTGGGCTCGCTCCAGGGAAGCAGGGCAGGAGAGCTGGGGCTTCCTGGGTTCCCAGGGCAGACACGCATGTACCCTGTGCACCCTCAAATGAGCAAGCCTCCCCACTGGCCCCTGGATGAGGCCATGTGGACCCCAAACCTTTGGGGCTAGTTGGGCAAGCCTTGAACCCCCAATTTCTGTGTGGCCTTTGCCTGCCCTCCTTCTCCAAGGCGTGACTCTTACTCCAGAGATTCGGGTGGGCAAGTGTCCCTAAACTTATTTTCTCTCAATCAAACTGAAACCCACTGTGAGCGCCCAGAGTCTAGTGCGGTTTCTGTTGGGGAGGGGTCTCCCTTCCTTCTGTGCCCAGGACGGGGACCCCAGGCAAGATGCAGGGCTCTCTGCTCCTGGCTCTTCATCATCATGGGGACACCCTTTGTCCAAACAAGAAATCCCAGGAGGTCTGGCTTTGCCACTTCGGCTGGAACTCGGGTGCCCGGGCATACCTGCATCTGTGCCCCTCCTCATCCCCGTGAGGGGGACCCTGAATATCCCAACCCCAACGTAGAACATGAAGGCCTCAAGCCAGCCCCTCCTCCAGTTCGAGCGCCCTCCCTCACATCCACCTAGAGAGGTCCAGACCTGCGGCTACTTTCATGCCCTCTCCAGACCGGGAGACACCTGCCACTGACCTCGTGGAAAACAGATTTTGACATTTTGACGCTTCCCCCTCCTTCCCCCCTCCACCACCTGCGGGGTCTCCTTGCCGCATCTCGGGAGAGCAAGCAGAGCTTTGGGCCCCTGGGGTGTGTGTCATGCAGTTTAGACGAAGTGGTTTGAAAATTCGCCATTTGGTCTCAGACTGGGAAAAGAAGAGTGACTTGACAGGCCCAATGCCATCAGCCCTTCAGCGAGACAGAAGAGGGCATTTTCTGTTTCAAGTCCTTAGAGAGCATGACGTCATAATTTTCTGAATTAACATCTGAATGTTGAAATTAGGATGGTGCAAAGGAGTACAGGGCCACGGGCTGGGTATGGCCGCCAGCTCCCCGGCGGCGGAAGCTGCCTCAAAACCCCCTCGACAAAGAGGGCCACATGCAAGTCAACGAAATGGGACGCTTTCACCAAGGCCACACCCAGCGTCTACTGATAGAGTTCGTTGATCCCTGCCCATGAACGAACACAACAGAAAAAGACACCGAGGGTCCTAGTGGCTACAAGTCAATGGTGAATTGGCACGTGGTCTAGCAGTTTTAAAATCTAACAGTAGAGGATGTAATGGGCAAGGGCCAGGAAGTCCTTCGGAGATGGGAGGTCAGAGCTCTAAACCGGCTCAGTGGAGGTCTTTGCCCAGTGTCTGGACACTAGCTACAGGGGGGTGCGCAGAGGATTCTGGGCAGAAGGAAAATGTCTAAAAGTACTTTGGGAGGGTAAAGCATGGGGACCTTGTCTAAAATAAAGACTTAAGGGTCATAAATAACCATCCAGGTTTGTGAATTAATGGAGAGGACACCATCTAGCCATTTTCCACGTTTCCAGTGTGGAGAACTGGGCAAAGGTGCCAGTGGTCACGTGAGGCGCTGCCACAGGGTGGGCACGGGAGACCCATTGTAGACTGCTGACCCTTGGTGCCATCCATCCTGCCTCCTAGCCTCTGGGGTTCTGAGTGCGTGCTGTCGGTGGGGGCTTCCTCCTTGTTGGGACAGCCATTGCTGAAGGGGACTCTCCGTCTGGCCCGGGGTGTAGAGGACCCGTGAGGACCACTCAAGTGCGGGGGCGGTTCCAGGGGTGGGCCAGGCTCTCCAGCCCTCGCCTTCGCCACCCTGGAAGCCTGTTTTCTGGTTTGGCTTTGGGGTTCCCTCTCTACGGACAACCAACTCAGACAAAAGCAACCACGACCACACCTCAGGTAGGTGGCACCGGGGTCACCCCCAACCACAGCTCCCAGGGCAGTTTCCAGGTATCTAGCCTCCACTGTCTTTTCCACCCCTCTCCTGCCGATGTGGACAACTTTAGAAATAAAGTACCAGGGACTCACAGACCACCAGGCAAGAGCCCAGGTGCCCCCTGGGAAATGCCACCACCCACCCTAACAGCAGGGTGGGTCCAGCTCCTGAATAAGACTCTTCTGGGCACGTGCTGCCTTTCTCCAAAGCCCAGGCACCCTCTTGATTTTTCAATAAATCCCCGGGTTCTGCCCCATGATTCATGTAGATGGGAGTTTCCCTCAGGTCTCGGTCTTTCTGCCTGGCTGGGCCACAGATGAGTGCCCCAACCGGGAAGACAAACAGAATTGGACTTTTAGGGTCAGAGGCAGCCAGCCTGAGATGGAGTTGGGGGGAGGGGAGGGTGTTGGGACCCAGGCAAGGGGGTGAGGAGGGGGTGAGGACATTCCAGGGGAGTTGAACTGCTTATTTCCTGGGAGGCTGAGACAAAGAACAGAGCTCTTCCAGATTTTGCTGGAAATGCACACCAGAACTACCGATGGGGTTGAGGATGGGGGCTTTCGGGGTGGGTGAGTCCCAGGAACTGGCTTTGGATTAGTGGTTAGTGCAGGTCAGCGGAGGAGCTGCCCCCACAGGTGTCACATCAGATGCCCACAGTGGGGACAGCACGCCCCCACACTCTTCGGGAGCAGTCCCCTCCCACTTCTGCCTGCAGCTTCCCCTCCGCCTCCCCCTCCTCTCCTCTCTCTGTTCCCTCCCGGTGCAGTGGCCTCAGGGTGGTCACCCGTACCCTATTCCAGGGGACGTGACAGCAAAAGCACTGTGCCCTTCCCCTCTACCCTCTGGGCCGAAATGCAGCCTCCAGGGCAGTCCAAAGCAGACCAGGGGTCTCCGAAAGGGCTGGGGACCCCAGAGTCGGAAATTGAGCTGTTGGTTCACCAACTGGCCCAGTCTCTGAGCCTCTGCACCGACCCCCCACCCCCCACCCCATCGCCTACCTGAAACTGATCCAGGACACCAAGGTCTGTTTGTGTGGGGGGGGGCTGCCCGCTCCCCAGAATCTGGCCCACGATGGTTTTGATTAGAGGAGATACCCCAGCAGAAAGCATCCCAGAGAGACCTGGAGACCCGCTGTGGCCTCCCGTGTGTCCCCTCCCTCCCCGGGACCTGACACTGCCATGCCCACGGCAGGGACCCCGGGTGCTGTCCTTTCCGGAAAGCAAGCTCCAAAGCTTGGGTTGGGGTCTGCTTGGCAGAGGGAGGCTTAGACAGAAAGCGGGACGCCTCCGTCCCAAAGCAGCCGCGGCCCCCGGACCCCAGCCGGCTCTGCGCGAGGCCGGACCGCCCCCACCCGCTCCTTCCTGCGGTCCCGGCGCGCGTTTTCCACCCGGAGACGCAGAACCGCTGGGGGGTTTCTGCAGAGCGCGGGCTTCGCATCAGGAGCGGCTCTCCGGGGACGGGCGGAGGGCGGCGCGGCCTCCCGGAGCCCCCAGCCCACCTGAGGCCTCGGGGGCGGGTCCCTGCGCCGCGAACCCCACCGAGCCGGGCAGGAGGCGGCGCGTGTGGGCACGATGGGACCCCGCGTCCTCCAAATAATCCTCGCCGCTAATTCCCATTCCGGCAGGAAGAGGCCGGCGCCGCTCACATCCACCCCATTTTCCGCGGAAGGGGCTTTGTTGCATTTCTTTTGATTTCGCCCCAGCGGGCGCGCCATCCCGCCCGGCACACGCCTGGCCTCCCGGCCGCTGCGCACGGTTCTGCCCAAGGCGGGGAAGGAGGGGCGCGTAGGACAGGAGACGGCTGGAGACCGGGCCGGGGGCGGGACGGGAGGGGAGGGGCGCCGGGGCGGAGCAGGGGGGAAGAGGGGCCCGCAGCACCCCCACCCGGCCCATTCATCCAGCCACATCAGGTGTGCGGCAGGTCAAGGTAACAAGCCGGGGTGGCGGTGGCGGTGACAGAGGGGGCGGGAGCATCACCAGGTGAAACCCCGGAGAGGGGCTGGCAAGGAGGGAGAGCAGGCCCAGCCTCTGAGAGTCCCGAAAGTCAGGAAACTCCCTAGTCCTGAGGCCTCCCACTTGCTGTAGATTCCATGCAGCGACCCACCCACCCCCAGCCAGGGCAGCGCAGGTGAGCCCGGCCCCAGCTGCCTCTGAGCCTCCACCCACCCTGCTGAAGTCCTCACTCAGCCCAGCCCTAGGGCCCCCTGTAGCTGAGGCCCACACCACTCCCTCCACCTCACCCTCAGCCACCGCCTGGCCTGCCCCTGGCCAGCCCACCCTCTCTCTATAAAACCTGAGCAAAGGCAGGAGACCCTCTGGCTTCAGAAAAGCAGCAGCCCCCGGAGCTCCCTGCAGCTCCCTACCGGGCAGGGCGGGAGGGCAGGAGGCCACAGCCGTGACCAGGGCGGGAGCCCAGCAGGCCCAGTCCGGCAGAGTCTTCACCAACCCAAGCAAAGTCCAGTCTGCCTGCCTGATGGGACCCTTGTCATGGGGACCCACAGGCTTCCAGGGCCTTCTTTCTTCGAACGAAGATTTCCGTGGGTCATTCTTACGAGTTCATGGTGCTCTTTGGCCTTTGGCAGCTTGGCTTGGGCCAGGCTGGAGTGGAAGACGAGGGCACAGGCAGCCTGGCGGGGGGGCGCAGGCCTGGGCCCTCCTGCGTGCCATGCTCCAGCAGCCTGGCCCCGGCCCCTGGTGGAGGGCGCTGCCCGTCAGGGTGGGCTGCTTGGCTCTTCTTGTGTGGGATACATGGACCACCCGTCCAGTCCCACGTCCCTCCCAGGCTGCTGTAGGAGGAACCCCCGGGGCAGTGCGTCACGATGGCCCACCTGGGGAATGGCCCTTCTTGGGGAAACCCCAGAAGAATTGTTAAATATCTCAGGGTCATCTGGGTTCACTCCAGGCAGGGCGTGACCCTCTGCCCTTGCGCTGCCCTTTCTGTCTCTGGATTCCCCCTGCACACTCCCAGGGCGCGAGGGGGAGGCCGTGTGGTCTGGACTCACTATGTGACCTTGGACGTCATGTTTGCGCTCTCTGGGCCTCAAGAGGTGCCACCTCTGTCCACGGTGGGGGAGGCTGGGCAGGGGGTGGGGGAGCAGCCAGACCACTGGGTTCGGCCCTTGCCTTGGAAGATGTCGGCGGGAGCCTAGGGGAGGGCTGAGCTCTGCGCTGTGTCCTGATGGTCAGGAGCACACGTTGAGCACCTGTTGTATACTAAATAGGACGGGGGCCCTTCTTCAGAGGGACAGGAGGGGAAGGAAACACTTGTCCTCGTCCGCATGGAAGGGCAGGAGCGGGTGCTACCAACAGGCGAGGGCCACGAGGGCCACATTCCCAGCGCCTGCCCCTTCCTCCTCTCACCCCGACTCCCCATCGCCCCCCACTTCACTGCTCCCACGTCTTCCTCCATCCCCCGCCTCACTCCCCATCCCATGCCCCCTGCTGGCTGCCCCCACACAGAACTACCTCCCGGGGTGCCCCCCATCCCCACTTTTATATGCTTGAAACCGCAGAAACGGAAGCTTCGTGCACCTGTAAGCTTCGAGCTGGGCTGACTTTCCAAAGTGCCGAGCCACAGAGGCCTCACGCCTTTCCTGGAGGAGGAGCCAGCCCCAGGCCAAGCCTGGCAGCATCTGGGCCAGGACGGCTTCTTCCAGGACCCCCCAACCCCTGCCTGCCAGACCTGCCCACCACCCCACTGGGAACCGCCCCTTTGTCTTGTGTCCACTCCTGGATCCCTGGGGGTCGATGCACAGGGAGCTGTCACCACACTGGCCAGCCAGGCCCGGGGCGTTCCTTCCTCTCGTCCTCCATGGTTTACGTGGAGAATAGCGCGGGGAGAGTCCCTGAGCGGCTGGCTCTAGCCCCACGGCCTTGCACGGGCTGCTATGGCAAAAGTCCGTTCCCAAGCACCGTGAGATGCCCGTCATGGGGGGCTCTGGCTCAAGGGCTCCCCATGGCCCCAGGAGAGGCGCGTTCAACATGAGGAGAAGACCTGGCAGTGAATCCTGAACTCCTGGTTCCAGCACATCCTGTGACCTCCTTGCACTTAATGTCAGCCACTAGGATACTGGTTATCCCTGCCAGAAACTGGGGGGGCTCCAGGGAAAGGCAGTTAGCTTCTCCCCAGCGTTAGTGCGCCCACAGCCCTCAGCTTCAGGGCCAGTGAGGGAAGAGACCCCCGACCCCAGCATCTCTGTGCACACCTGGCACACCCGGGCCCTTCATCAGGACCCTCCCCACATCTGCCACGGAGAGCCCCTGTGATGGCCAGCCCCACTGGGAGCCCGTGCCCAGCCCGGCCCAGCCCAGCCCCGGCCACAGCCGCCTCGTGGTGTTTGCTGGGTGATAAATGAATAAACGGGGGCCTGCTGGACGCTTAGCAAATACTGCCTGAATGAAGGAACGTCGCCCCAATACAGACACGCGAGAGTACACAGACCATAAAAGCAAACGTGACAGGTGCCGATGGGCTGATAAGAGGTCGCCATGGTGGGCGGGAGAGGCGGGAGGAGTTTCTGCTCG